TGAGCAGAGGATACCCGCTGATAAGGTAATCTCCCTTGTGTTCCAATAAAATGTAGAGCTGATTCAGGAGGTCTGAAAACCCTAATGGAAGATGCAGGTAACCTTCTGGTAGAAGACTAGGAAAGGCAAGAGGCCAGGGTGGAAAGAGAATAATGGAGACAGGCCACATCCACCCTACATTCCATGGAATCTGGAATACCTGCAAAAGTCAAATGTCTGAGAAAAGGAACTTCTCTGAGATTTCTAAGGGCCAAAGAAGGAAGTTGAATTCCCTCAAGCAAGGCATCTCTCCAAAAGATACCAGGAACAAACTAACCAAGAAACAAAGGAAAGAGTAGAAGCCGATAAACTTACCAAAGAAAAGTCAATAAAGGACTAAGATCCTCAGAAAACTGAGCAGGAGACCTGTGATAGGACTTACATAACAGTTACAAAGAAGATAATAATGCAAAACTCTTGTAAGGGACAGATGGATTTGGGAAAAATGAGTTTGATTAAGATGAACAGTGACATCAAGCCTAGAATCCCAAATAGGAAAAAGAGGATCTAACCTCTGAGAATACAAATATGGGTTCTCCAAGCGATGGACAGCTAAGGCATGCTGATCCGATAAATGAGGAGGACAAGGCATGGCAGCTCCCTCTCTCAATTGATCAGCAACTCTCCTAATATGCACAGCAATGACTGGTGAAGGTGAAAAGACCACATAACCATTCAAATAAATTTCCCCTAACAAAGAAGGAGATAAGCCAAAAGCTACAGAAGAAATGTTCAAGACATTACAAATTTGATGTATTAATTGCAAAAATAGTGCAGGAAGCAGGATGTCCATCCTAGAATCCAAATTATCATCAGCCTGCCCCTGAACTCCCGTAAGCTCAGCCTTTGAGCCAAAAGGAGAAAAAAAAATCAGACCTAATGTAAGACTCCATCTCTTTCTGTATGAGGAACTGGACGTCCTCAGCAGAAAGGGGCTCTCCCCCAATGCTCCAGGTGATGCTAGACTCCAGATAATAATAATAATAATGTAGGTGGAGAGAATCACAAGATTTAACTTACTATGAGCAATACAATGGGATATAATGGCTGAAGCAAGTGAGGTAGGATTCATACCAATGCTTAGATGGGAAGAGAAGAGTAACTTTTGTCAGGATAAAGCTATAGTGTGAAGGGAGGGGAGCAAGTTTCAGAATACAATTTTCTTTATAAAGAAATTAATACAGAAATACCAGTAAAGAAATCCAACAGGGGCATTTAATAATTGCATGTATAATATTAATTTCATAGTGCTCAGTTTTAAACTAGACTTCATTAATACGAACTATACAAATGTTGTTATTACACATCACAGAGTTTGCTATGAAACATTTCTAGTATCTAATAGTGACATTTCACAGCAAGTTATCTAATAGAAGAGCCAAACACTGATACTGACTGATTATTTTACAAAATATGTATTACATAGTGACTGCATGGAAATAAACTATTTAACAATATAAATGTGTGTGTGTGTGTGTGTGTGTGTGTATATATATATACATCACATTAACAATTAAAAGTTTCAGTACTTTGGGGCTAATGAAATTTAGAAGGGTAGGTCAAAGGATCTAATTGATAAGTACAAGGAACTGATAAAGACATTTAAAGAAAATGGCTATAATAACATAATTCTGAGACTTAATTGTAGAGAAGAAATTACAAGCAGGCCTCTATGGCTGAATGCTAGGGTTAGGTTAAAATGTAAGGATGAGCAGGTTGAATTTGAGAGATCAGTTCAACAGGAAAAGGGAGCTTTTTTAGGATGGATGATTTACATGTAAATAAGGTGGGGGCTGGTTTGTTTGCAAGGACAGCTTTAAACTATGACTAGACAGTGGTGAGGACCAGAAAAATTAAGAAAAACAAAATAGAGAGAAAAGTTATAGCATAAGAACAAAGTAAAGAAGTAGTTTAAATTCCAGGCTAAACTTATTATTGTAATGCCAGAAATATAGGAAATAAAATGGGTGGCTTTAGAGTACTATTCAAAATGGAAAATGTGAGATAACAGGAATAACTGAAATCTGGTTAAAGGTACAAAATTTTAATGACAAGAAATTCCTTGAAATACAGGATTAGAAACTATTTAATAGAGACAGAGTACTAAAAAAGAAGGGGAAGAAGTGGCTTTATATATAAAATGTAAGTTACATTTTATTCAAGAAGAGGATATCAGAGCTAATAGCAATGAGGTTAAATCTATTTTGGCTTCTGTTAGTTGTCATAAGTGAAGGCTTTTAGTTGGAATCTGTTATATATCAACAAATGAAACTGATGAAGTTAATGAGAAACTACAGTGAGATAAAATTTCAGTTGTTAATGAGGACATAACTATATGGGATTAATGTCAGGCATGTAGATTGTGAAGTTGACGTTTTTCTTACCTAAACATGTATTTCTGATAGATAATCATATCTACATATCAAATAGCTAGCTTGAAACCTCACATATCTGCCTATGAGATTTGCATGCCACCAGCCTTGAGCTAATTCTTATCTAAAAGTACATTTAATATGAACTGTTCTGGTGCATGATGACATCATCATGCAACAATAGCCCTCCATCAATGGGAGGGCTACAACCTCCTTGTGCAGAAGCTCCCCCCAAAGCACTTGCACTCAAAATAACTTCATTCTTAGATGAGGCAAAAAGTGCACTACAAGTGGGGAGGATGGGTGGGAAGAGTTGAGTATTTATCAGAAATACATTTTCAGGTAAGGAAAATGTTAACTTCTGAGACAATACCTCACCTTCTCACACAGAATAGCTAGAAAGCCACAATGAAATGGTGGAGGGGCCAGTGCAAACATTAAACCTAAGCAGTTCCCTTCAGAAAGTGCCTCAAAGGAGATCCCATGGAATGTGACACTTGATGGCAGGAGCTTCACAGGGGCATACACATGGGAAACAACATCTCATATTGACCAGGATATAATCTTCACCCGAAGGAAAGAGAGTGAAAGAAAAAGAGCCCCAAGAGACGAGTGAAATTTTTGCATGACCAACCAAACACCCACAGGAATGGTTGGAAAGCCAAGAAGTGTAGTGTAGGTAAGGTGCTATCAGGACTTATGGTGTGTGTGTGTGTATGTCTGACTTTGACTCAACTGGATAAACAGAGATGAGGAGAGCAAACTTGTACTGCTGCAGGAGGAGTACACATTAGCTATTGGAGGGGTGAACTTGCTACACAAATAGTGCCATCACCACCCTACTTTCCACCGTATTGTGCTGTACATAATCACTGAAGAACTACCTAAGGCCTACCACCCCAGCAGTTTGAAGATGAGGGGTAGAATTTGCATTGGTGAAACCCGGAGAAGTGTTAATTATTTACATTTACTGCAATATTAAAGTTTAGGATGTTGCTGAATTTGAGGAGGATGTTGCTGCTTTACAAAAGGATTTGGATTATTTGATGAGTTGAGAAAATAAATGGTAGATGGATTTTAATTATAATAAATTCAATGTAATGTATGTAGGATTTCATAATTTGAATTATAAGTATAATTTTGCTGGAAATAAACTTAACAGTGCTATGAAAGAAAAAGATATTTGTGTTTTGTTGATCAGCCTCTTAAGCCATCCAAGCAATGTGCTGTTGCTAATGGCAAAGCAAATAGGATTTTTGGTTGTATCTACAGGAATATTGAACACAAGTCTAAAAGAGGTTATAATTTCATTGTATGGGTCATTAGTTAAGTCACATTTGGAGTATTGTGTTTGGTCTTGGGTTCATCTTAGAAAGGACACTGAATTGTCTGAAAGAGATCAGAAAAGGGCTACCAGAATGGTAACTGGAATGAAAAGGTTGCCATACAAGGACAGGTTAACAGTGAGGTGTAATAGTGAGGTGTTTAAGATTGTTAAGGGAATTGATAGTGTTGATGCATCATCTTTTTTTTGTAATTAAAAGTGAAAATAATAGGACTAGGAGACTCAAATATAAATTCTGGAAGGGTAGGAGTCACCTTCAAATAAGACAGCAATATTTTTCTATCAGGATGGTTGGCTTTTAGATGGGTTGCCTTCAGATGTGGTGAATGCAGTTACTTTAAAGGAGCTTAAGAGAAAGTTTGAACAATATATGAATATTAAGGGCTGGCTTAGAGTGTTTTATTTTCATTTTAAAGTTTAGTTTAGTGGATGGGACAGTCTAGATGGGCCAGCAGGTCCCATATTGTCCTTAAATTATATAAATATAATGTATTTTGAGAAAACCTGGGATTGGTGTAATCTGCTTCTTTTCAGACAGATGAAATACTGTAATAGTGAAGCTAGCCACAAGAAGAAATGCAACACTGTGTAATTGTATTTTACACTAATAAAATAACAAGTAAGTAATTAATCAAGAAGAAACACTGTAATAGTGAGGTGATGTACCTAGCCACAAGAAAAAAAATAACAGTGGTTAACTGGATTTTACATTAATAAAATAACAGAAAATTAATTAATCATGAAATAACTACATGTTCATGTAAAATTCAATATGGCTATAATAAATTATGAATATAGTTTGTAATATTTCCATTGTCATGTTTTCTGGCTTGCCTACTTGATGAATTTTTTTTCATGTGGAACAGGAATTAAAAACAAATTGTTAGATCTTAAGCTCTAAGAGGTTTAGGTATGAAGTAATGTATTTCTAAAGTTCTGAAATTTAAAAAAAAATGTGTAGGTGTAAATGGACTTTTAATGGTGAAACATTTGCAGGAGTGTTAATACTGTAATACAGATTACATTTTCCTGACTATACAACAGTAACTTATTATTTAAAAAAAAAGTATAAGTATAGTAAATCATAACAAAAAATACATAAGAAATATTATTTCACAGACAATAAATTTACACTTACATACAAGACACACATATCACAACTCTTACACTACAACAAAGAGAAATATAAGTAGGTCCATTGACTATACAAATCAACTATATACTGATAACACTAAAACACCTACCTATGTAATTCACTGTTAGAAATGTAGTAGGAGAAAACCAGAAGGGATATCACACAAAACATAACAGCTGCCATAAGACACCTTCTAATTGCAGGTTGGGTTACACTACAACAGACCCCCAACAGAGTCTTCTTTGTTATTGTTGGCTCTGCCACCATACTATATTTTCTGTCTTTTATCAAACAATCTGTGCATTTATGGTAAAAAGTTAATATTTTCTCTCCTTTAATTCTCACAAGTTGTGCACTTTTTTTTTAGCCCATGTTATATGTTACCTGCAGCATTACACACCACAGAAAAACAGACTAGTCCCTCTAACAGTATACATAATTAAATGTGACTGTGACATGTTATCAGGTTTTGTTTATGCCAATAGATAACAGAATATCTTTCTTCAGTGAACACTTGTTGCTTATCTCACTGGTATCCATTACAAATGTCCCTTTGAAAACCAGCTCCTTAGTCTTTCACCAGGCTTGGGCAGTCTCAGTAAAACACCTACAAGATCACACAAAACAAAATTATTAAAAATTACAAAAATTAACTAAATACAGCCTCTGTAATATAAAAATGTTAAATACCTGGTCTATAGGATAATTCAGAGTATGTCACTAAAAACTCTAATTTATATTTTACTAATTCACAAATACTGTAATAGCAAAGTAAAATATACAAAATATATTTAAGAATACCTTTATTTAAAAGCATTTATACCAACATTTGTACATGTAAGAAAAATGAAGTTATCTTAAAATAGCAAATCAAATACTATGATTTTATGAATTTTGTAGTTGTATATAATTTTTTTTTTGTTTGCAATCTTTTTATTTATGAAATGCTTAAACTTAAAAACATTTGGTCAAAGTACCATTTCTTATCTGTATTCAATAAGCAAAATATCTTTTCATGTCTGTGGAAATGTTTTACATGTTCAAACAATGGAATATCTTGACATAAACAAAATATAAAATTTATAAATAATTTAATAAATTGAAATTTCTTTCAAACTAGCTACAAGCAATCATTTATGTAGAATATTTCACATTAAATAAATTTTGCATATTGTGTTAGTGGAAAAGATTAGTGGTCTGCTTTCACACTAATACACCTTTATTCTCCAATGAAACAAAGAAAAAGCTAATATTTTATAAATATGGTAATTTTTTGTTACTTTAGTGTCATAACATTCTGTTTAAGTAGTTAGCACACAGGATCACCTACAAAAGTTGTAATATTTTCAAAACGAGACCCAAAACTCGAGCGCATTCGAATATTGACTATTCTTCTTTAGGAGAATGAAGGGTTATGTTTAACGAGCGTGAAGAAATATATAGGTTCGGATGTG